ATTTTGGGATGCACCTAGTAGCATTACATTTATTAGGAATAAAGACTTCTGAGTTCTGGTGCATTTGTGCGGTATCTAGTTTTTTTTTGTAGCTTTAGCCTGGTGGGACCAGTCATTTTTTTCGTATGTTTTTCTTATCATTTTATGATGGATTTTTTTGTTAGTTTAATTTGGTGTGGTTGTGTCTTCGACGACCCTGTAAAGGGTTGGCCCACTGCCACACCTTTAGTTTTGTTTGGCTGGCTCACCAGGTCKATCTTTTGTTTGAACTTTGAGTTTTGTTTTTTGGTTAATAGTAATTATTTTAGACAGTGGTCCTTAATTTTCCACTCTTTTTTTGCAGGAACGTTTTTGTTCCTTTTTTCTCCTCAGCTAGGGTTTTTTTTTTTGGAGGACCAGGCAGAATAATTAATAAGAGTTTTATTCCTGAATTCTGTCTTTGTGTCCTCCTTAAATGTGATATGACCCTTCTGTGTTTCTATGGGCCGTAACATCTTCACAGCAACTTTCAACCTCTCATAAACTACCAAAAAGAGCATTTTATGTACTTCATGTTTGTCTCAATGTATTTGTTTTCTAATTATAGTTGACATTTTCTGTTTCTTTGTTTTTTCTGTCACATCCCAATCATCTGCAAAGCTTGTAGAGAAGGTGAGCAAAAACAAGATGAGATTTTTAACTGTTATATCTCTGTGAAGGTCATAATGTAAAACAATGACATWTTTTTAGGAAAAAGAGACGGTTGATTGGTGGAGTAAATTCTACGCTTCAGTCGGAGATCAGGAGAAATGTGGACCTTACCTAAAGAAAGGCTACGATACCCTCAGAGTGAGCCTCCTTTTATTTTATTTTTTTACAATAATTTTCAAAGATTACTGATTTGTTTACAACTGAAAAACCTTTGTGTGAATTTTCAGGTGTACGACAGRGAGCTAGAGGACGTCCCGGAGTTTAAAGGGTTGACTGACTTCTGCAACACCTTCAAGCTGCAGCGAGGCAAGAATGAGAACGGGGARGAGGATCCCTCGGTGGTTGGAGAGTTCAAGGTAGTTTAACACCAATAACATCATGGTAAATTTGAACGTGACTTTAGAGAAATTACCAGAGCGTCCTTGATTGATTTTTTTTTTTTTTTCACCTGCAGGGTGCGTTCAAGGTGTACCCTCTGCCCGATGACCCAGGTGTTTCTCCTCCGCCCCGTCAGTTCAGAGAGCTACCAGAAAGTGGACCTCAGGAGTGTCTTGTCAGGATTTATGTGATCCGAGGAATAGACCTGCAGCCTAAAGACAATAACGGCAAGGTAAACGTGAATCTGTGAATTAACAAAAACAAAACGTTCTTATTTTGCCATCCATGACTCGATCCACATTTTCTCCTCAGTGTGATCCATACATAAAAATATCAGTGGGAAGAAATTCAGTTGATGACAGAGACAATTACTTACCCAACACCATTGACCCTGTGTTTGGAAGGTAAATCTTCTCACTAAATTAAAACATTTAAATTGTATCCTGAATATCTAAAGTGCTGCTACACTTTATTCTTCAAACCCTTACCKATGTTGTTTAGGATGTTTGAGATGACGTGCTTCCTGCCCCAGGACAAAGACCTGAAAATCTCAGTTTATGACTTTGATCTCCTGACTCGCGATGAGAAGGTTGGGGAGACCSTGATCGACCTGGAGAACCGCTTCCTGTCTCGATACAACGCCTACTGTGGCCTTCCACAAACCTACTGCATGTGAGCGAAACTTCTGGTAATTTTGTTAAAATGCTATTAAGGATTTGTTTCAATCCTTTCTTTTGTTTTCTCAGTTCTGGTATCAACCAATGGAGGGATCAGCTGAAGCCATCTCAGATCCTGGAGAACTTGGCTCGACTGAAAGGACTGTCCAAACCCAGGTCTGAAGAAAACGGCACATCGCTCACTTTCAATGGGAATGACTACACACTGGCTCAGTTTGGTAAGACTTTAAAAGTAAAGAAATACATGTTCTCCATTTCACTACACTGCTGGTTCTATATAACCTGTGGTGAAAATGTGTTTTTATATAAAGAGAACAACAAAGAAGTCCATCAACACTTGGGTCCTCCTCATGAGCGACTCTGTCTGCACGTGCTCAGGACGCAGAAGCTTGTCCCTGAACATGTGGAGACCAGGACYCTTTACAGCACCTATCAGCCAAATATATCTCAGGTTGGACGTCACACTCATCTGTCTTCATGTCCACTCAAACACTTCGCTCTTAGTTTGTGTAAAACCTGTATTTGTTTTAGGGAAGACTCCAGATGTGGGTGGATGTTTTCCCTAAAAGCATCGGYCTTCCTGGTCCTCCCTTTGACATCACACCACGCAAGCCGAAAAAGTAAACACTTGTCTCCCTCCGTATGAATTCCGTTTGATTGACACTGAGCTAACATCAGGTGTCTGAACACAGGTTCTTCCTGCGTGTTGTCGTCTGGAACACCACAGAGGTGACTCTGGACGAGACCAGCATCACAGGAGAAAACATGAGCGACATCTATGTCAAAGGGTATGCTTGTTTTTATGCACTTCATGTTTTTTTTTTCAGGTTCATATGTTGTGAAAGACTTTCGGCTACTACTTTCGGCCATTACATTTAAGCTCCATATCTGCATAAAACTGACTGAGTTTAGTGGTTTTTCTGTTGCTAATGTTGATTAGCTGTAGGAGCTGTAGCTTAAATCTGATAAAGGTTAATAAGCAACTGAGCACATTTTAATGTAACTTTCAGAAGTTATGAAATACACTGCCCTGGCCAAAAAGAGAGCCTCCTGTTTAACTAATGCAGTGAGGAGCTTCTTATTTGTTAAACAACCATGTCTAAAAGCACATTCTGTGATCGTGGAAAAGATGTTAATCTGTTTCAGAAGAGTCAGATTGTTGGCATCAAACAGAGAAGCATCTAAAGAGATTGCTGAATCTAACATCAGCTTAAAGGGGCAATATTATGTGTTTCTCAGGCATACATTTAAATACTATACCATAATAAAGTATCTGTCACCTTTTAGTTGCTGTTAAAATGCTGTTTTTATGTTTAAATAGAAAATAAACTTTTTTTWATCACTTCCTCTTCTAAAAGGAGTGAGAACTAATGTTGAGAGCTCAGCAGACAGTTTCACTTTCACTTTCACCGAGAGCCTGCAGGAGGCGGGGTGTGGGGTGGGTAGGTGCAAGTAGGGGTCTCTGCGGACGAGTGGGCGTGTCACAAGGAAAGGCGATTCTAAAGCGYCACACCTGATTTGACGGACTTTGTTAAAGGGACACACCTGACTGTACAAGCAAAAAAGGGGCGATACCGTACGGCACCACCTCATTGGACAAGAACAAAAGGGGCGTTACTGTACGGTACCACTTTTTCTGGAGAACCCTACTTGGGTCACATTTCTCCTGGTTAACCTTAGTGTTGGGGTCAGGGTCAGGCTGTAAAGAGATCAAGCAGGATCTAAGGATACCGTCATGTAGGCCTCGTAGCCCACAGTGTTTATGCTTTTGACACGCCCACTCTTGTGACACACCCATTCTTGTGACACGCCCACTTCAATTCCGCAGATAACCCCTTCTCGGTAGGTGTGCTCCGCCATGAGGAAGCTCGGCTTAGACACGTCCCAGGGGCGTTTCTGGTCCCAAAAGGCATTTCTGGTCCACCTGTCGTTTTGCTCCTCAGCATGGCTGCTTAAAAACGCTGCAGGATTTCTCAAACATGCATGAATGAGTCAAAGCAAGGCTTTGGGCATGTTTTTTTATGAGAGTATAACATGATATAAAACTGAAAAGTTGATTTTACATGATATTGCCCCTTTAAGAAATGTGCAAGGCAGGTCATGTGGTCTGAGTTCAGATTGACCCTGATCCACAGTGATTGGCGCATCAGGGTAAGAAGAGAGGAAGCTGAAGTGATTCAAACATCATGTCTAGTGCCTGCTGTACAAGCCTGTGTGGGCAGGTGGTCTGGTCTAGGTTCAATGGCATTATGATGTCAGCTGACTACCTGAATATACTGAATGATGAGGTTATCCCATCAGTGGATTATCTCTTCCCTGGTGACACAGGCATATTCCAAGATGACACCGGGATTCATCAGGTTCACATTGTGAACGAGTGGACCTGAATCCGTTTGAGAGTTTTTGGGATGTGCTGGAGAAGACTTTGCTCAGTGGTCCGAATCCTGGCAAGAAATTTAAACTGTGTACAGAAAATGAATGTTGTGACACTGTAGAAGCATGTGGAAACAAATCAACAGAGAGTGTGTGCTGTAATTAAAACTAAAGGTGGTCAATTGAATTTTAGTTTCTTTTGTTTTTTCCTCGCCGGGCAGTGTGTTTTATTAACAGAAAGGTTTGACTGATTTCACTAGTTAATGTTACAGCTGCAAGCACAGATCTTAAACAATAAGTGGCAGCCATTGGGATAGCTTGAAAAAGTTATTTGTAGATGTACATTCAGTGATTATCTTCAAGCTTCATTAAAATCCACTCAGTGATTCATGAGATATTTTGCTAACAGAAACGTGCACATACAGCAAATACCTTATCTCCCACTTTTCAGCAGTGGGTGATAATGTCCTGCTTGTCCTCTGTTGCAGCTGGATGCCAGGCATGGAGGAGGACAAGCAGAAGACTGATGTCCACTACAGGTCTTTAGACGGAGATGGGAACTTCAACTGGCGGTTTGTCTTTGGCTTTGAATTCCTGCCAGCAGAACAACTCTGCCTTGTATCTAAAAAGGTAAGACTCATTAGTTTAACATCCTAAGGCGTGGCATGCAAACTTTTAAGCCCATGGCCTGAGTTTGTTGATGGCTCAACAGGAACACTTTTGGAGTCTTGACAAAACTGAGTTCAGGATTCCTCCCAGGCTGATCGTCCAGATTTGGGATAACGACAAGTTCTCACTGGATGATTACCTGGGTAAAAAAAAAAATGCTGTCTCATTAGTGAGATTTATGATTTATATTTAAAACTCTGAGTTTAATGTGCTTTAATCCCCCAGGTGTGGTTGAGCTGGATCTGCGTAAGCTGGTTCCTCCTTCTAAGACCCCAGAGAAGTGTTCTCTGAAGATGATGGACGATCAGGACATGAACAGACCCAACAAGCTGGACATCTACAAGTCTCTGTTTGCTCAGCAGTCTGTCAGAGGCTGGTGGCCATGTATGATCGAGAAAGATGGCCAGAAGGTCCTGGGTGTAAGTAGGAATTACAAAATGCACTAAAATGTTTCAATGTTTTTAAAGAGTAATTGCACAAAATTCCTGAGCAGTCAATAAAAATTCAATAAGTTCAAATCTGTTGAGGCAAACAAAACAAAAAACGACAAAACGCCTGCAATCTCATAATGGATCTATAGAGTGAGCCCAAAGCCTCAGGACAACTCTTTATTTCAGAAACTAAAGGGATAATTAAAAATCTGAATACCCCAGCAAGTAACCAGGGTGAGGAGGCAGTCTTTTAGGTTATGTCCGTAACATGGCCACCATCATTAAAGCCGCCATATTGGATCAAAGTCAAAATTTTCCCATGGGAAGATCATGTAGCATATAAGGATTGTTTCAGAAATGGATTGCTGCAATCAAATGTGCAATATCTCTTTGTAGTTCAAATGTTATAAAGTGCTGTGTGAAACTGGTGGGGTTTCTGGGTGTTGGTTGTTGAAGTCTGCGGCTATGATACAGCAGCTGCTTTCCCTACATCATCTCAATCCTCTTCTAGCGACAATTCTATCATCAGATACCTGCCATGAACAAGAAACGTTTTGAACTTTATGTTAAATTTGTTTGTAATTGTCTTTTAATGATTTTATTTCATTTTATTGGTTATTTTTAACTGATTTAAACTGTACAGCAGTTTGGCCAACTTGTATTGTTTTAAAAAGTGTGATTCAATCTGCTGCTACCTGCTAACATTACAGTATAGCTCGATGGTTAAAGCACCTCGCTGATGATGCTGTTTGTTGCTCATGATGTTTCTCTGACTTGTTTTGTAGGGAAAGGTGGAGATGAGTGTGGAGATTGTGAGTGAAGCTGAGGCAGATGAGAGACCAGCAGGAAAAGGAAGAGATGAACCAAACATGAACCCAAAACTGAACCCTCCCAAGTACGAAACCAAACCACACAAGAATCTCTGAACTCAGTGTTAAACCTATCACCAGTTATATTATCTAACGAACATGGTTTCTGTCTCACTCCCTGAAAACCACCAGCCGCCCAGAAACATCCTTCTTTTGGTTCACGAACCCATGCAAGACCATGAAGTTCATTGTGTGGAAAAAGTTCAAATGGGTCTTCATTGGACTCATCATCCTCATCATTTTGCTCCTCTTCCTCGCCATCCTGCTCTACTCTTTACCGGTAAGAACAGATAAGGAAATCATGAAATTAGTTAAATGTTCTGAAATCTGTAGGTTTTGATCCATATTTTTGTTTTTCAGAACTACATCTCCATGAAGATCGTTAAGCCACTTCAGTAACCGCAGCAAGGATCACATGAACTCAAGTTTTGAGATTTTTTTTTTTCTAACTGCGTGGTGTTTATAATTAGGGGTGCTCATAAATGTGCACTATAGCACACAAAGTTCTTTTCTACACGACGTCATTGTGACCAACTTGTGATAGCTTTAAAGAGACGTGAACATCTGAGTCGTTTCTAAACCACAGAAATCAACTTGACATTGCAGACTTAAGGGTTATTTTTTTTTTTTTTTTGGAACAAACACTTTGTGGAAGTGCAAGTTCAGTCTTCTGCAGGGTTTAGGTTTGTTAGAATCTTTTATATTTGTGCACACTGATATCTGAAGTTGTTTAAGGTGGTAATTTTATTGTGACTGATATTAAATTGCATTACGAGGTGGGTTTCGATTTACCCTRAATTTGTGCCAAATGAAATAAGTGGAAAAAGTAATTAAGTGTTTTAAATGTTTAGTTATTTTAAATAATAAAAAATCAACAGAAATCTGAACTGGTTCTAAATTATTTTTCTTCTCCACACAAGTTTGGTATTTAAAGTGCAGAGCCAGGAGCTTTTGACCAGAACCACAAACATGTTGGGATGCTTTATACAGCGTGACTTCAGCAATATATATATTTATAAAGGTCAAATTTCTCATTCATGCATGTTTGGGAAATCCTGTAGTGTCCTGAGGCAGCCAGGCAGGGGAGAAATAAACGACTGTTGGGACTAGAACCACCTTTTGGGATCAGCTCCTCCTGTGGGCTGTGTCTCCAAGCTGAGCTTCCTCATCAGAGCACACACCCKCACCCAGCCCCATGCTGAAATGGACAGGACAGAAGCAGAAGGAGGTTCTTAAAGAGACAGGCCAATTGCAAGGCGTTTAGAAACAGTTATGATGAGAAATCAAGTTTAATTTATATTTAAACATATAAGCATTTTAATAACTGAAGGTGACATAGTTAATTTATGGTATAAAATTTAAATATGCCTGAGAAACACAAAATATTGCCCCTTCAACATTTGTTACAAATTCTTAAAACTAAAGAGCATTTCATGCTACCTCGTCACTTCCTTCAAAAAAAAAAAAAAAGTTCCAACAGTTTGTATTTTGAATTTTTTTTATTTTGCTTTTATGCTAAAATATTTCATTGTTTAATTCATTATGTCAGTGTATTTGCTATTTTGTTCTGTTGTGCAAAACTAACTTGTATCATTCTATCCCTTATTGGCTTTACAATGCTTAGAACAAACTATTACCGACTATAAGTGATATGCATATAATTTCCCTAAATAGAGTACAGTTTAAAATTATTCAATGTGTTAAACCATTTAGTTTCAAAACTGACTCCCAAATGGGAAAATAAAATAGCCATTTTTTTTAAATTTACTTTACTATAAATGAGTGCCAGTTAAAGTTGCTACATTTTTCTTGATATTGTATAGATGGGATTGCCCTTAACTTTTAGAATTGATAAAAGATGGCAAGCTTAGATGTAAAATGAAGGAAAAAATGGACATTCTGGCGAGTATCTATTTTTATAAATGGTTAATGTAAAAAAAAAATACACTGCTTCTTTGAGCAACATTTAGAAGTTTATTTTTTTAGTATTTAGGAAATTCATTGAATGCATTGGGTAAGAGTCTGGAAACCATAACATTTTACCAAACCATTTTCCCCTATATGTAGAGACCTGGAAAGTACTTTTTTCCCCTCAAGGCTGTGTAGGAACCCTGTTTGATAAGATGAACTGAAACGGCTTCATGACACTAAAATACCAAACTTGAGTCTTCAATAATCTCAGTAAAGGATTGTGTAGCTGATCCAGGATCTAAGCAGCTTCTCTTTGTGATTATTTTTAGGCCATGCCAGTGTTTACTTTTGTCATTCAAAAACAGTACATCGTGATAAAAGTGCTCAAGCTAATTAACAGGATAAAAGTATTCCTGCTAAAGTATTTTCATATACTGCACCTTTAAAACAGAATTGTCGTTATTGTTTTTATTTCTCTTTAAAAGAATAACTTCTGAATGATTGCTGGCTTTATTCTTCCTCTGAGCTGTGATGTTTGCAGTGCTGCCTCAGAAGATCCTCCACCTCTCCTCTCCGGGCCAGGCTGTTGGCTTTGCCCTGGAAACGCCCGTTCTTCCCCGCCCCCTTCCCTTGAAGCAAGTCTAAAACCCTGAAGGGCAGAAACGTGTGAGGATACTCAACAAACAGTTGAGTTTGGCCTAAAAGGACTAACTGTGTGATCGGGTCTCRTACCGTGGTCCCAATTCAGACACCGGTCCACTGGGTCCAGCGAGGAGGAACAAACCAGGTCCCTTTTCCTCTCCAACAGTCAGGAAAACCAATGTTTCCTGACAACAAATGAAAGCGTTTGAGTATTTACCAGTGAAAGCCAAGAGCGAGGTGTTTGATCAGCTGCCTCACCTCTGTGTTGATTTCATTAGCAACAATATTCATGAACTCATTGTCGCCCTCTTTTCTGTAGAAGYAAAAAAAAAATAAAAAAATCACTGCTTGTGTGAAACCCTTCCACTGGTGGCCCAGTGTTTCTGTGCTGAAGATGATTCACAGCAGAAACTCGTACTTGTGTAAAGTGAAGAAGCTCCCTCTGTCAGGATCCTTCCTGAAGTTCTGAGCGATCAGGACTGCCATATCACGAAGCAGGCTCAGATTAGTCTGGAAACAGTTTTATAATGCACATAGTGACTCGGTGCAATGTTTAGTTGAATTTTGAAAAAGAAAAAAAAAAAAAAACACTGACCTTCTGTAGCAGCTTCACAGACTTCTGCAACTTGTCAACTGCCTCGACGTGCTCGTCTGGTCCCGTCCTGTTGAACCCAGGTTCTTTCATTTCATTCGTTTATCTTTAGAAATGTTTTTACTGATGATACRAGGACGATCTGTAGTCTGGACTTACTTTAGGAGCGATACCAGAGAACGCTCGGTGCTGTAGCTCCTCTCTGCGTACTTTAGTACTCTGTTTCCTGCCAGGAAGATCAGGTTGGTTTTGTTTTTCTTTCCTTTCTCCGTTCCAAGAAGTTTAATAGCCTAAAAATGTTTAAATTGAGCAAACATAAGACTCGTTTAATTAAAAGCTTGGCCTTCCCCACGAGTTTTAAACTAAGATCAGATGCTGAGAGGATGTGGCTACTGCTTTAGTCAAGRCTCGAAAATGAGTGATTTCACRCATGTTCATGTTCTAAGTCTTCATRACTCCCACASCAAAGTTTATCTCAATATTAGAACTTAGTGTTTTTAGCCTTTTCGTTTTTGATCAGGTGGCGCCCATCTTGAATCAAGTTGCAGATGTTTGTCCAATTATTACTTTTTGGAAAAAAAAAAGATATTTTGCTTAAGCTACAGAAAGTGARGGGCAAATGAAGCTTATTTTTAAAGTTTCATTACTTGAAGCTTTTCAACTGTGTTCTTTGGTGCCATCTTGTGGCCAAAAGTATGAAGAGCAGCTTGAAAGAACACAAAATGAACCGCTTCATTGTGATGGCATTGACAGCTGTTTAACATCATGAGACGTTGGCTGGTTTGATATATTTTGTGCGAATTTGCCATCAAAACACACCAAAAATCTTGACGATGATTCACTTCCTCATAAACCTTTGAATCCGAAACCAAAGCAGTGATGTAACTTTGGCACTTTCAAAGCTTTGGACATCYTTAATCATGTGACTTTTGCCARACMAATCCAGCTCCAACACAGAGCTACTGAAACTTTCTCATTTTCAATCCATGTTCCTGAGCTTCAGCTTGAAATGGCCCATTACTAGCTAAACACACGTTCACCCTTTTGCCTATGGTTAAATAATCCCGAGATGCACTGGGAATACAAATATAGAAATGCAGGTTTGGTTTATTGTTACGTTAAGGATCTGAAAACTATGTACTGGGTATGTGCCTGTATTTGAGTGTTAATATTTACCTGTAAGTCGCTAAGGTTAGACACATGGGTGCCGCAACACATGTTTGCATCAACGCCTTCAATATCAATAATCCGAACCGGTCCTGCATGGTCCTCTGGCAGTCCACGACTCCTCACCTGGTTCACACAAACATTCAACTCAACTATTATGATTTGTGTATAATTGTATTTAATTTTAGATACGTGAATAAATACAGAATAGAGAAATTAATCATCTCAACACAAGACATGTAGGAGGCCTTTGAGTCCCAGTAAACACAACAGGTGTATACACACCTTTTCTACAGCTGGGTCGTCTATAGAGAGAAGTTTAACAATAACAGGAATGTGAGCTCTGATCTTCTCATTTACAGCTTCTTCCAGTTCCTGAAGCTGAGCTGGTTTTACAGACTGAGTGTCCAGCTCAATCGTGCTTCTCTGACGGGCTAAATCCCTGAGTGGGAAAAGGGGGGAAAAAATAAAAATCAGGTAAACGCTCAAGTCTTGACATTCACTGAGAATATGACCTGTGTGTTGATGTACCAGGATGTGGTCTTGTATCCAAACATTGTGTCTGCCAGAGCTGTGATCAAATGCTGACCTAAGAGACATTTTTTTGTTTAAATTATGCCTTAGAATAAACAATGTGAACTCAGTAATGACTGTTTGTCTTACRGGAGTGTTGCTGCATGTGATCGAACCTCCTCTCCCAGTCCACCTTCACGTGCACCTCCTGACCCACCTCCAGAGGTGAGGTCACAAAGTGTAGAGCATCCGGTCCTTGTCTGGTCACCCTCAGAACTGGAACCTCTCCAATCAGTCCGTGGTCATCCGGCTGCGAGACCATAAAGAAAACACCGTACACTTGTGGGATGTGCTCTCAAGTGGGACGTGTTGGACGAGAAACTTTCTTACCTGACCTCCTCCCTCAGGAAATAAAATCGTATCTTGGAGCTTAATATTGAAACCTTTGAGAGTTTCTTTCTTTCCATTCACTTCTTGTTTTAGTTCCGCGGGGCAGCAGGAAACCACAGAAGTAATGAACTGGAAAAGTGAATGAATGAATGAATGAATGAATGGGTTATTTATCACCCAATACAGCAACTTTTATCAGCAGATTTATTGCATTAGATTTATTAAAACACTGTAAAAATATATATTACTTGGATATATTTACACAACTTAAAGCTCTTTAAAATATAATCATGATAAAAATGTTAGCTTGAGAGCTAGCTACGGTTAGCTGCTACAAGGTTTAGCTGCCGTGCTAATCACGTCTGAGTGATATTTCTGTAAGGTTTTAGTCATGTGCCATTCAAAAGCGTCATACCTCTTTCATATAACAGTTTCGCTGACACTGAAAAGCCATTTGAGGCTGTTTTTAAGAGGAAAACACCACTAGCTGTCAAAACCAAAACACCGACTCACAGGAGTCACGAACGGGTCGCAACATGGTCCAAACTTAACAGCTTCGATTCTCTCTCTCTCTCTCTCTCTCTCTCTCTCTCTCTCTCTCTCTCTC